AGCTGCGGCTCATGGGCCAGTAAACACGAGGCCCCCGCACGGGGAGATGAAAGCCCGGCGCTGCCTGGGCGGCAGAGGCAGAAGCAGGGAAAGGCCGAGCTGCGGTGGCTCTGCAAACCTGTCTGGGCAACATCCTGCACTGCTCAGCTGCAGCGGCACCTCTGGGTCCCGTCAGGTCTTCTCCCCTAAAGTTGCTTTTTCTCCTCCTCTTCCCTTGGTGTTGCATGGAAGCAGCCAGATCTTTCCCCCCCAAAAAAGGAAGGGAGGGCAGAGGAAGGCAGCACCCTGCGGGTGACAGCTGGGTGGGTGCCGCACACCCCCGGCCACGGCGCTCACAGCATCTGAGGTCGGTGTGAAAGGGAAAGCAGATGAAAAGCGACACGAGCTGCCCCGGCGCTGCTCACCACCTGCTTGCAGCTCCCGCTGCAACCTGGCACTCAGGTCTCCGGGGGTTTGTGCCCTTCCCTGCTTGGGCACAGGATCCGGCCTTGCTCCTGGAGCGCACCAGGGGCTGGGCAGGGGGGTGCTGCACCCTCTCCCAGGCAGCGATGGGTCTCAGCCCCACGGGGAGCTCTGGTCAGTCACGCTGCACCCTTTGGCAGCACCCAGCTGTGGGGGGGAACGGACACACATGTGCCTCCAGCTGAGCTGCACCCACAAAACACTGGGAGAGGGGCCAGAGGGTGCTCGGGAGGGCCCAGCACCTCTGCCATGCAAGGGGAGTGGGCAGGACCTGGTGCTGCAGGCAGGACACAGCCAGGCGCGGAGCCCCTTAGTCCCCTCCTGGCCAGGAAAATAACGTGCAGCCCCTGAATGCGGAGCTTGGGCCAAGCCAGTCCGTCAGCCTCGATGGCTGCGCCCACAGCTCCTTGAGCAGCAGCAAAGAGCCCGCCAGCAAGGTGGTCAAAGCTTGAACTGGCCTCCCCTGCCCCCACCCACCTCAGTTTTAGAGCTGGGAGAACGGCTCGGCCCCTGGGTACAGGGACATGGCAGAGACAGGTCAGGACAACCCCAGCCTGCTGGCGGAGCTCCAGCGCCCGCCCGCTCTGCCCCACAGCCCTGGGAACATGCGTGGGGCTCGGAGCAGCCCGGACCTGGCACCTGGAGAGCAGGAGGAGTCAAACCTCAGGGCAGCCGAGCCAGGAGCCCACGCCCAAGGACTTGCAGCAACTGTAGGAAACAGCTCTGCAGCGCACTTCCCGAGGAGCCCAAACACACCGTGTTTGTTTTGCTGATAGAACGCCCCTGACGAAGGCGCAATCACGAGACGTTCAGCAACCGGAGCGTGCTATGTAAATACAACATAATTTATTGGTTCCATTTCAGAGAACTATAGTGGTATTTGTACGAGTGTCCTAACGATAGCACAAGAAACAAGAGTCACGTATGTACAGAGAATCCAGGACACAGAAAAACTTTGTAAGGAAGAAGTGGTTAGTGGTGCAGTTTGGTCACTGTTCATCGAAACCTTTTCTCTTACTGTAAACCCTGCTCCCCCCCTCCCCCCAGATCCTAGGTAGACCCACCTACCTACCTCGGGGGCATTGCAAAGCTCTCCTCACGCAGCGGAGTTGCTCCTGCAAGCAGCAGGCGAGGCTGGCAGTCGCTGGCTGCACACCAGAGGCTTTGGTTACGAGGGGCGTGCAGCTGAGCAGGGACGTGCTGCTCGGGAAGAGGGAGAAGGCTCCGTACCCTGACGGGGAGTAGAAAAGGGTCCACGCGCAGCCAGTAAGCCAGGCTGGAGGGCAGGCGGCCCAGTTCCTTCTCGGCAGGGTCAGCGTACCACGGGGAGGTGGGGGAGTGCAGGTGTTGGAGAAGAACGCTCCCCACGCCCGTCCTAGTGCCTTCCCTCTTCCCACGAGGCACAGGTCTGCTTGGCCAGCACGGATCCCCGTCCCCCGTGGGGACGGCGCACCCAGAGCCACAGCTGGGCTGAGCCCGGGGAGAAGCTCGGCTCAGAGCTGGTGGAAGAGGCCAGAGCAGACTCACAACGGCAGCGCTCCGGCACAGACGCCACCAGCAGTGGCAGCGCTGGTCGAGCCACGGGAGAAACCCAAGTCCAACTTCTTTCAGCGGGAAAGCAAGGAGGGCCGAGCCTTGGGGACAGGATGCCAAGCGGAGGGTGAGCAGAAAAGCAGCTCTGTCCAAAAAGCGGACTCGTAGCCAGTGGAAGAGGTGCTGGAACCAACCAGCACCCCAGGGGATCCACGTACACCCCATCTCTTCCCCAGTCCCCGCATAACCTCCCTTCACGGGTGGGAAATGGGTCTCTGGAGGGAAGTACCGCTTCCATGGCAGCACCAGCTACACAACGTGGCTCTATCTGAAGCATCTGGCTCGGCTCACTCGGTGCCACTGCAGTGAGGGGACAGGGAAGAGGCAGCACAGGGTGGCTCTTCCCTCCTCAGAGAGCGAGCATTTCCACCAACTGGCAGAAAATATTTCCTTTTTTTTTTTTTTATAGAAATTACTATAAAAAACTAGTTTATCTAGAGCATCTTTAAAAAAATATTCCTGCAATATCACAGTTTTACATTGAAACTCATTAAAAATATATAGATTTCTTTAACAAAACGTCTCTGTTCTCCCCTTGAATCATGCCTCCCATACAGGAGTGGGACTCGGAGTCCTCGGAAGAGACGCCGAGGTGGGAGCAGGAAGGTCTGATCTCAGTGGCACATCCGGGAGGTCATTTCCTTCTGTCAAAGGGAAAGACAAGACAAGGGACCATGAAGGAAGATCCAGATTGCCAGGTGAGGGTGTGGATGAAGAAAACCTCACCATCGTTTAGCCGTAAATACCCCTCCCAGGCACGCAGTGACACTGTCACTAAGAACTCCAGGTTGGGCAGGTTGGCGTCCCCCCACCACTCCCATTCCTGGGCACCGCAGGACACCCTTCGGCTGCCTGACAGCTCTGCGAGTCTGCTCTGCTGCCTGCGGCTTTCCAAACACCATCCCTGCCTCCTCGGTCTTCTCCATCCTCCAGACTCCCTGGGAAGGCGGCGGTGGGGCCCTCGCACCCCCAGGGAGGGGGTGCAGCCCGGGCTGAGGCAGTGCAGGCCAGCACGGCGAGCCAGCTGCGAGGAGGCTGCCGGAGAACAAGGCAGCTGCCCCCAGGCGATGCCCAGACCACCCTCCTCAGCTGTGCCCGCACGTCCCGACTCCCAGCGTCCTGACAGTCAAACTGCGCGGCCAACACCCACGTCCTGAATTTGGGCAACCAGTTTTGACCTCTGTGACTCCTCTGCCCCCAGCCCACCCCTTCCGCGCCGGCTGCAGACCCCGACAGACCGAGGGGTACCCTGAGCCCACCCAGACACTCACCAGTGGTTCCAGCTCCTTGGTGTCTATGAGATTGAACTCTTTCACAAAGTAGTAAAAGTGCTTGTAGCAGGTGTTGACGTGAGCTTCCGACCCCATCTGGGTGATCCGGTCGAAATGGTGGATGTAGACGTGGACAAAGACCCGGAAGAGCCTGGAGAGAATCTTCTTCACCACCGGGAGGAAGTTCTTGGGGAAGGGAGTACCTGGGAGGGAAGATATGACCATGGGAAACCTTCAGCAAAGTTAAACCTGGTTCCTTGGGGCCACAAGAACTGGATAAAATGGATAGATTGAGACAAAAGGGCTTCTGTCCCCGGTAATTTCCAGTTCCCCTCTCCTTTTTCCTTTCCGTTTGGATCAGATCTTTCAAAGCACAGATTTCTGAAGTGACAGAGCGCTGGCACTTCGCCACCGATCGCTGCTGGCAACAGAAAGCAAGAGACCAGCCTCAGAGATTCCCAGCAGCTGTTTCGGTCTGATAGAGTTTTCTTCTACTCCTCTTTGGCGTGTTTATACAAACAGCACGACATACCAGATAGGACCAAGCAGTTTCCCAAAAGAAAGTCGGTGCCGTTAACTCCCCACGGTTATCTCTTCCTTTGATGGGTGTTCAGCGCTTTGGTTAAAAACTAAAACCGTTAAGGTCCACTCTAAAGGTGTCAGCTCTTTGGGATCTGTTTAGCCGGGGCCCTGCAGCAGAACCGTCGGCCCAACCAGCCACGACCGTAGAATATTTCAGTTTAAAGTTCACACAGGTCGTTTCTGGAGGAACGAGGATCAGTGAAACCCTTTCGGTGCTCTGCAAGAACTGCAGCGTTTCAGTCGGCGTTAAGGGCAAGGAATCTGCCAAAAGCCGAGCTGAAAACAATAACAACTAAAAAAACCCAAACCACAACCCTCCTGCTGTTGGAAACTCGCCTTGCCTCCCTGAACAGAACGAACACCCTGTTCATAGCCCCCAGAGAGTCCTGCACAAGAGCCCTAACTAAAGGCAACGCAGCAGTTGTCTGGGCGACAGGAGGGACGGGCGGGGAGGATCTCAGTGTTTCAGCTGCCTGAAGAACCGGCTGTTCATGGCCCCGCTCCCTCCCTCCGCCCGCCCAACACCAGGTCTAAGCAGCATTTTGGCACAAGTGCAGGAGCCCCGCGGACGCTCGCGTGGCAGAGGCGGCAGACGTGTCCCTGACAGGAGCCAACTGCATCCCATGGAAGTTTTGACGGGACAAACGCCGGGGCAGGAGGGAGGGAGCTCTGCTGCAGCTTGTCTTTTGCATCCCAGAAGATGGGAGCTCCGAGTGGGATCAATCATTTTTACCTAATGCTTTAGCTGCTGAATTCTCCCCATCTTATTCAACACAAAATAAACAAAAAACCCAACCACCTTTGTCCCAAAGCCAGTACACAAAGCTGTGCTTGGATATGCAGATTTAGGTGTCTCGGGCCAAATTCTCATTCCCATCACCCTGGCAATAGATAAAACACTGCCCCTCCCTCCCCGCACATGTCAGCATCCCACCCAGCTGCAGCACACAGCCGAGTGCACGTCAGGAAGCACCGAGCTAGAAAGGGCAGCGTCAGCTCCCGCCAGCCTGTAATAACAAAGAGGCTAATTATGGAAACGTGGCCACCATCGCCAGGCTGACGCAGAGCACGCGCGGTGAAGCCAAGCTAGCCATCCGCGCGGAAAGAGCTGTCCTTCAGGAGACCACGTCCACCACGAGCTACTCCAGAGTCACGTCAGAGACTGACTTTTCGAAGAGCAGCCTCTCGTTTTCGCTGCGTAGGCTCAGCTTGGCTTTCCTTGAGGTATCCATGACTCCAGGTGGGATCTGGTACAGCGCTGGGTATTTGAGCACTCCAGAAGAGCTCTGAGGTTTCTCAGGCGCTCAGAAGAGCTCACTACACTGCCAGGCTCTGAGCACCACAAAAGGAACTAGCTCTGCTGCAAGGGTGACCTGTGCAACAGCGTCTCCTGGAACAGAAACGAGACCCGAGGGCTCAGAGGGCTCTGCACCGGCCTCCCTCCCTCCCGCTGGGACTGAACTCACCAACGTTAGTGGGAAAGATGTCCTCGTTGTTGATCTGTACCTCGATCCAGTCCATCAGGAGGTTCATGTACTGGGGAGCAGACAGGGCCGTGGGTTTGCGGTACTTGTGCTCGTCCTGCCACCGGTACTCGTACTTGGGCCCCCCCGACATGACGGGGCAGGACTGCTCCGTGCAATAGTCACTGATGGTGCCGTAGATCAGGTTGATGCGGTTGAAGAAGTCCACCACGTGCACGGCCACCCAGTCGTTCTGCTCCTCGCCTGGCGGCAGCTGGACAGCAACTTTCAAGTCCAGGCCAGCGTTGAGCGAGGCTTGAGCCTTCTTGTGCAGCTCAAACCGCTGAGTCCCTGGCTCAAACTTGCGCTTGGGCCGGAAGGTTTTGTCTTTATTGAACACTTGCTTTAAAGCATGGGACATTTTTCTTCTCTTCTTCTTTCTTTTCCAGGTCCGTAGCGATGACAGCTGGAGACGCAGCGCTGCTGGGCCGCTTCCTGGGGCAGGGCTGGGGCGACTCTGATCTTCACAGAAACCTCCCTCTGCTCATCTGGTCCTGATCTGCAACACAGCACAGAAGGGCAGCGATTAGGAGCAGCTCTCTCAACAGGAAACCTTGTCTAAATCCCATAGGAAGAGATCTGGGATACCATCTGGGCCCTCGCCCCAGATCTGAGAAGGGGGGGGAGGCCAACAGCAGCTTTCTTTCCTCCCCCTTCTCTTTGCAGCCCAGCTTGCAGCAGAGGGGCGGCTCAGCTGCCAGGGGTGACCTGGGCTGAACGAAGAGTCACCCCTGCAAGGTCTCCCTCGCTCAACGTGGGGATGACAGAACCAGCCCCACAGCCCCGTAGGGAAGAGGTGTGACGGGAAGGGGCATGACAGGACACCAAGGCGCAGTCCCCCCGTGCCCCCCAGCACAACCTCTGCGGGAGATGGCTGCCGTTCCCCCCGACATCATCACACCAAGAGACCCAAACCCCACAGAAACAGGGAGAAACTCCACCACCACCTATTCGGCTCCAACACACCAGAGTTAAGAAGGATAAAACTTTAAGTTGAGTTTCACCTGGATCAGATTTTTCCCCTACACTTCCCGCCCGCTTAGGAAACAAGCCCACCTAAAAGGTAAGGTTATGACACCCTACGATAACGTTCAGATCTGCTGCCAGACGTGCTCCAACAAAACAACCGTTGGAGCAGGAGCTGCGTGCGCTGCCGTAGTGCTAAAGACAGGACACAAAAGGGTGGAGGGGAACAACAAGAAGAAGAAGAAGTCACAGCTCAGGCACCCGGAAAGAGAATATCCTGAAATAACACCAGCCCTGAGCGCAGCCACAGCCTCTTCTGCAGGTGCAGACAGACCATAAACATATTTTTCATTTCAGTTTAGCTCACTTCAAGTTAAAGGCTGGTTGAAAGCTGGAAGACCAGGGAAAGCTTGCCTTCCTCTTCCAGGCTGTGGAAAAGAATTAGCTCCAAGAGGGTGAGACACAAGTTAAGATCTGAAAGGATGCTGACGAGAAACACAGCTCTGTTTATCTGTAGCTAATTATACCTCCTTTGTTCCCACATCCATCCCCTCGTATAATTTGTGTCAAGCTGCTCTTTGATGGAAGCTTAAAGCAGAAAGCTATGTGTACCAAAAATATTATTTACATGTGCTGGACAGAGAAATAAGTAAAGGAACAGAAATTAACTAAAGCTGATGCCTTACTGAATCTGGCAAAATAAGGGTTTCCATAGTTTTACAAGAAAGCAAGGAAGCAAATCCCTTTCACCAAGCAGAAAGCTTAAATTTATACGAAGCCAGTGTTGTTCAAATAGGTGAACAGCATCCTCAAACGTTGGCAACAAAATCCCAAATTCAAGGTCAAGGCTACCTTTGCCGCAATTCAGCCCATCTCTAACAGATGATGCATAGTGCTAATCAGCATTTCTTCTCTGGAGAAAGATTAAAAAGATTTAAACCGAGGCCTCTTGTTTTCTTATTTAATTACAACAAGGAAGAAAACCCAAACCACTTCAGTTCGTCCCACTAAGAACAGGCTCGATGTTTCCTAACGCTGCTTCTCCTGCGGGAACGGGCTCAGAAACCTCTTCTGTGTAGGAACAGAGAGATCCAAACTCCTGTTGCAACATGGGCCACGACACGCGCTGGGAGAAACCAAAAAAGCATTTTAATGTGGTTCAGCGAGATCCAGCCTGGGCTGCAAGGTGAATTCACTGCACACATGCTTTTGCTGCACGCTAGAACAGCTGCTGCTACTGTGTGAGAGTCAAAAAACAGAAGAAAACCCCCAGAAAACGCGTCCTTACGAGGCGTTTGATCACACCACAGACACGGTTAGAGGAAGTAGCGAACGGCGCGGAGGGACATCTGAGCACGAGGCAGCAGCTCTGGTTACCGAGAGCTGTGTCACAGCCTCACCACATCCTGCAGCGGAACGCCGAGGCGATCGGCGGGGCGGAAGCACCAGGGGACTGCGCCCACCTCACCGCGGTGCCACGTCCGGAGCGAAGGCAGGGCCGGCCTCCAAGTCACCAACAATGTGGACAGCAGGTGCTGAGTCTGCGGCTACTTCCAGCAGGAAATCAGTCCCAGAGAAGTACTTGCACGCAACGATTTCCTTAGGCTGGAGATGGAGGAAGAAATGTCCTTTAAAACAAAAAAGCCGTAAAGAAGCAGGAGCATCGCCCTCCATACAGCTCCCCGAGGAGTGGCAGCGCTCCCGGCACGGTGCAACTCTGCTTCTACTTGTTTTCTGTAAGATGTGCCTGATTCCATCCGTGTTAGCCCGAGACTGGAGCCAGGCACCGTCCCTTCTGCTGGACAACGACGTGTTTCTTGAGCAGGGATCAGGGCCCGACACAGAGAAGAGAGTGGGGTGAACCAGAACAGCCGAACTGCCGGGAAAACACCAAACACCCCCTGGGCCTGGCCGTGCATGTCAAGAAGCAAACACTGACCACTTTCCAGAAGAAACTGTCATTTGGGCAGGGTGAAGAGGCTTTTAACATGGCTCATTTGGTATCAGGGCAGCATCCCTCCTACAAACAAGCTTCCTCTTCCTATGGAGAAATCATTCATGAGAACTGGGGAGCTCGACACAGCAGCAATTGTGTCTCAGATGATTCAGCGTCGGTCTGAAGGCATTATCAAAAGGAGTAGCTAAGACTTCAAGCAGATGCAGCCTATTTAATCATGGTCTTTGCAACTGAGCTAAAAGAAACATTTAGCTCCAGGGGGAAAAAAAAAAAAAATAAAGTAAAGGCACAGAGACCAAAAGCATCCCTGACATTGCTTGAAGATGATATCACACATACAACACCTACTTCCACAGGCAGGAGTCACAGCTCGGGCAGCACGAAGACACTGCCTTCGCACAGAAGGGAAAGGAAAGGTCAGGAACAATTAGGCCATGAGACATGCAAAGCACCTGAATGGTATTTGCAAGCTTCAAAGATGAGGGGGGGAAAAAAAAATCCCCCACAAACAAACGTGCAGTACATTTTGTTTACTCCTCCTTTCCAGCCAGCCAAGATTACAGCGCACATCACCGGCGCTCCGGGAGGACCTTGGCCATCCCTCCGAGATCCCACAGCTGCCGCAGAAAGCCCCACGCTGCGGCAGGCTGGCCAGAGCACAAACAAACCTCCAGCTTCTCCGCAATTCCCAAGGACACAAGAGGAATGGCTCCGTACTGCGCTGGCTCAGGAGGCGACGTGCCTGCCCTGCGAGGGGTGTCGAGGCCTGGCCCTCCCTTCCCTTCCCAAAAGCTCGTTCGCTCCCCTTACTCCCTGCTCCCGCAGCTCCAGTCCCAACGCCGGTTTCTGCTGATGGGAATCCAGGGCAGGGCTGCGTGTGTCGCCCTGCCGTTCCCCTTCCCTCGCGGGGACGGCAGATCCCGTGGTGCTGCCTGACTTTAAAACCAGGCTCCGGGCAGAGGAAGCCCAGGCGGTCGCTTCTCCGGCTCGTGGTTACTTTTACAGGCGGCTCAGAGAGGGTGTGAAAAAGGAAAGGCCATCACCTCCTCCGAAACACCCGGGAACTGCCTCCCCTCGCGACC